AGAGCGAAATACACCACACAAGCGGTTTGACAAACCAAGCGAAATTTCCCTTTGCTTCAAGCCATTTGTGCTGTGTATGGGGGTGTTTGAAGGTTTGACAAACCGCCGTCAAACCTTCAAACACCCCCATACACAGCACAAATGGCTTGAAGCAAAGGGAAATTTCGCTTGGTTTGTCAAACCGCTTGTGTGGTGTATTTCGCTCTTTACTAACATCCATACGTACATACGTACATATATACATGTGAGCATTTTGAAACACTTTGTTTTTGGCTCACTTTGCGTATTGGATGCCCTGCCAATTATTTGTTTTGACTTTTCTATTTCCGTGTGTGTTTGCGCTTATACCACTACTACATAAATAAAAACATATGTGTATAAGTGTGTGTTGTGGGTGTGTTTGCCTGTCTGTTTGTTTGTTTGTTTGTTTTCACACTGCAGTGATTTTAGGCGCAGACAGTAGCGCCTGACGCCTAACAAGCTGCGAAACCTTTTGTGAATTTCACATAGTTGGCAGGGAAAAGTGCTCCAACAAAAGTGTGTTGCAACAAAAAATAGTCATTTGTAATGCGAATGCTCTTTACGTTCGTTGCAAGGGATTGGCATAGGGGTTCGCAAGCGAATGCAAGGGGTTTCCAAGTGGTTGTTTGTTTGCTGCGCGCCTAAAAGTCTGCAAAGCATTTTTAGCTATTTAGAGTGCAAAAAAAACAAAAAAATGGAAAAACGTGTGGCATACTTTCTACTACTGCTGAACCGCTGAAGTTTACACACTAAATTTTTAACTGCAGCGATACTGCTGGTGTCGTATAGTGCTAGGGAAATGGTGGAAGAGTGCTCATTGGGTAAAAATGTGTGTTTTAAGTTGTGTTTTCGGTTTTGTTTTAAAATATCAGGATTTGAGATATCATTCCGAAAATTCCCATATATTAATAACATTATCATTTATAGATAAATTTCCGAAAAATGGGAGTAATCGGTCTATTTTAACACATACCTTCCGTGGAAACATAACTTCAAAAACTTCTAAAAATATCATAAATACCATCATAATTATATGAGGTTACGTCAAAAGTCGCAAATATGAGCCCCTTTTTTCAAAAACCAAATTACAAAATCTGTTCGTTTGCATTGATTTTTTTCTCTATTTGAATAAGCAAATGCTATATTTCATATGAACCTACAACAAAAGCAATCAAAATAAAAGTTAATAGAAAATTTTAAATTTCTTAGGGTTATAATTACGGTGACCATATTTATGAGAGCCGAATACGGGACAAAAAATAATTTTGCAAGTTTTTTCCATATTGTTTTCCCTGAAACAGTATACCTATAGTAACATCACAAATATGTAGGATAATTTTCTCGAGATTTTTACCCCGTAAAGTTTCTTAAAAAAATCGTTAAATTTTAGTATAATAAAGTGCAATTTTAAGTCGGTAAGGCTTACCACTAATTTTTGGCAATTTTTTTTTGTTGACGGTGTTAAGAATTTTTTTCGTACAAAGTAAGCATGTTCGACCTTTTTTTGAAAGAGAAGCAGCACTTTCCACTCGCCCTTTATTGTACTCAATTTTAATGGGGTACAAAACTGCAAACCGAATTTTTTTCTAAAGATTCTAATTCAAAGTTTTGAAATTTTGGCGAAACAGCGCCGAATTAATTTTTATAGTTTTTTTCACTAAGTTGGAAGTTTGGTATTATGTATGTATATGGGTTTTGTTAGGAAAAGAGCTTTACTTTTATAAAATAAAAATATAAACATTAAATAGACTAAGGAAAAATAGCCAAAACTTACTAAAATGTCGAGTCCTAATTTCTATTTTGGCCACTGTAATTATTCCTCGATTCGAATCACAGGCATTCAGGTTAGAAAATAATAACTGTTTATAAAAAAACTTACGATCATACTTATAACAAGATCACTTAAAACTCGTTCATAGGCATGCCATTTTAATGAGCTGTTAAGGCGTCAGAGCCCCGAATACGGGACAAATACGGGACATTAAAAGAAATACAGAACATTTGGCGTCCCGTATAAAATAAATAAATTACCAGGACAATGGGTCAAAAAAGAGGACTGTCCGTATAATACAGGACGGATGGTCACCGTAGTTATAATTAACTTTTCTTATTCAAATACTGCTTTAAAAGGCTTTAGCATAAAAGAACCGAAATTTCAAAAACCTAATTTTTTCTACCGAAATTCTACTTTGCCGCGTCACACAGTGGTACCATATCAACGAAAAGCGGAAAAAATTTAATATTTAATATCTCGCACACAGTTAGCCCAGTCAAGCTGAAAATTGGTATAATGAAACTCCATGGACAATGTAATACGAATTTAGAAAAAAGGCTGAAAAGTGGCTGCATAAAGTTCACAAAAAGGACTAAATTTAAATTTTTTCCACCATTTTGCATTCACCATCTTGAATTTCTTTAATCTGACTATGGATTTGTAATTGACGTCGTAGAAAATACTTGAAAACTGATTCTTGTCAAATAGTTTAGAAATGCTATTATATAGATTGCATTAAGTTTTTAAAGGGATAAGGACATTTAAAGTCCTGAGGCAGTCAAATCAAACATTCATTAAAATTGTTAAAAAATCCATTACTAATAACCAGGGAACGGATTTTATGGAAATCTCAATCGGTTCAGAATTGCAGGCTGTAGATCCTTTTGAAACTGAATTTATGGACTTTCAGCACCTAGAGAATTTTTTTAATAAGTTTCAAGTTTAATAAGTCAAGTTTGATATATCGGTGGTCGGAAAAGGAGTGCTCCTCAAGCACCTTCCACTTCCCGACCAGACATTCCGCATTCTCAGAGATAAGGGTAACGTCCAGAACTTCCCTTCGGGATTTTTTTTTTTTTTTATTACATGGAAAGACTTCTGCAATGGGGTGGAGTCTATCTCAGAGGCAGGCAGGCTCAGAAAGATACTCTCAGGTACTGCCCAGAAAGCCCCAGGTTGCTTGCAAAGACCTGACGGCTCCTGGACAGAGACCGAGGAGGAATCACTGGATCTGCTTCTTTGCACACACTTCCCGGGTGCCACGGATAGCATGCCGGTACAGCCACATCTAACTGGAGATCTTTCGGTCACTGGAGATTTCCTCACTAGGGAAAAGGTCATCTGGTCTATTGGGACATTTAAGCCCTATAAATCAGCAGGTCCGGATGGCATTGCCCCCATACAGCTGCAGCAAACACTTCAGCTAAGCTCAGCGTGGCTACACGCTATAATTAAGGGAGTATTAGCTCTTAACCATATCCCTAGAAAGTGGAGGGAATCAAGAGTGGTGTTCATCCCCAAGGCAGGGAAGGTGTCTCACAATAACCCAAAGGATTTCAGGCCCATCACCTTGTCGTCATTTCAACTGAAGGTTATGGAGAGACTGGTGGAGGTCCGTATCAGAGAGTCGGTTGGTGACAGACTCTCTACCACACAACATGCTTATACGAAAGGTAGATCTACAGAAACGGCGCTACATGAAATAGTGTCGTATATAGAGAGATCACTAGACATCAAAGAATATACGCTAGCAGCCTTCCTGGATATAGAGGGCGCCTTTAACAACATCATGCCGGGCGCGATAACGGCAGCACTGGCGGGCCTGGGCATCGACTCGCGCTTAGTTGCGCTCGTAAACCAAATGCTGAGATGCAGGGTGGTCCGGGCGGAGCTGGCGGGGGTATCGTTGACCAGGTTCGTAGAGAGGGGCACCCCGCAAGGGGGAGTCCTATCCCCTCTATTATGGGTCGCAGCGGTAAACTCACTGCTGTGTGGCATGGAGGGGGGTGGCTGTAAGGTTATTGCGTATGCGGATGATCTTGCACTAACAGTAAGTGGGAAATTTCCACAGACTCTATGTGACATTATGCAGGTAAAACTGAAGGAAGTCGAGAGTTGGACAAAAAATAACGGGCTAGGGGTAAACCCAAGCAAGACAGAACTTGTACTGTTCACAAGAAGGTACAAAATCCCCCCATTGATAACACCAAGGCTGGCACAGACCACACTAAAATTAAGCGAATCCGCTAAATACCTGGGGATAGTCCTAGATAAAAAATTAAGCTGGATTCAAAACACCGAAGAGCGGGTGCGGAAGGCCACGGTTGCCCTATACAGCTGCAGGAGAGCAATCGGCCAAAAATGGGGTTTAACCCCGAAGCTAGTGCACTGGATATACACCGTCGTGGTGAGGCCCATACTTCTGTACGGGGTAGTGGTATGGTGGCCAGTGCTGGAGAAGAAAGTAAACATTATTAAATTACAAAAAGTGGAGAGAACGGCCCTGATCTGCATTAGTGGTGCTCTCCGCACAACACCTACTATGGCAATGAACACGATCCTCAACATCATACCCATAGATATTATGGGACGACAATACGCTGCGTTTGCAGCCCTAAGACTACAGGGGCTTAAAAGCTGGAAAGCGGCTCGCTGTGGTCACACTACAATTCTGAGAAACCGACAACTACCGAGTACAAAGGACTACTGTGTACCAAGGCTCACTTTCACTAAAGGTTATAGCGTAACGCTACCTAGCAGGGAATCATGGCTCGAAGGAGTTCCGGGGTCTAGAGATGCCATAAGATTCTACACGGACGGCTCCAAACTAGAAAATAGGGTAGGAGGAGGCGTCTACTCGGAGAAATTGGGAATAAAAAGATCATTCCGACTACCTGACCACTGTAGTGTCTTTCAAGCCGAATTGGCAGCCATACAAGAAGCCGTTGACAGCCTAAAACTAGCTGTTATCGCCACTACGGAAATATATATATACTCAGACAGTCAGGCGGCCCTTATGGCGCTTGACTCTGTCACTATAAATTCGGAAACAGTTGCCAACTGCCGCAAATCACTTAACGTGATGGCAGAGCAGTTCGCTTTGCACCTGGTATGGGTACCGGGGCACAGTGACATACCAGGAAATGAGAAGGCAGACGAGCTTGCAAGGGCGGGTACTTCCTCTCCACTTTCACCAGCCTGGAAGAGGGTGGGTATGCCACTCGCTTCCTGCAAGCTCTTACTAAGGGAGAACTTCCTTGAAGAAGCGGCCTCCAGATGGGAGCGCACTGAAAACTGTAATACAACGAAGCTTACATGGCCAAAATGGGATGTACGGAGATCGAGAGAAATTCTCACTCTCAACAAAGGCGATATGTCACTGGCCATTGGTCTGCTCACAGGACATATTTTGATAGGAAGGCACGCAGAACGCCTCGGGGTTAGTCACAACGACTACTGCAGGAGCTGCCACGACGAAGAAGAGCCTGAATCAATAAGGCACTTACTCTGCGATTGCCCAGCACTGGGCAGGAAAAGACAGGTCTTCTAGACGATCTAAGCGCGACTGCTATGTTTGGAATACGGCAGTTGCTAAGGTTTGCAGACTCCACAAACTGGTTTAAGGAATAGGGGTTTTCTTTGGATCCATGTGGTATCACAATGGGCCCTGATCGGGCCTAAGTGTGCTGGCGCCCTCTGGGCCTAGCAGCCACTTCAACCAAACCTAACCTAACCTAAGTCAAGTTTCACATTGACAGGTGAGCTAAACCTATTTTTATCTCATTCCCAGAATGTCTAGCGCGGTTTTTGTTTACATTGACTCAATTTATTTTTACACAACTTGTGGGACTGCTCACCATTAATTTCTTTTGACATAAAAACTTGACTGTGATGGACATACATGACAACCACAATTAGCCTTTCTTTCTGTGATGAAGGTGGAACACTTTTGATGGTTGTGCCACGCCTTAGCAATGACAGTGCTTGCTGTTTTTGCCAGTGCTGAATTCTGAGAAGCTGATATGACACTGAGCGTGATTTGTCAAGTAAATTTTTTTGAAAGAAAATTAAGATTTTTGCTTTACCAATGTGCGTGTTTTTAATTACGCTTTTTGCGTTACCAATATTTCAAATTGTAAATATATACTAAGAATAAAGTTTTTGGTTATAGTGCGCAAAAATCGAAAAGTTCCTTGCCTGCAATATTAACATGTTTGGTATTTTTGTAAAAATAATTTAGTCACTAAAAATAATTAAATTAGATTTGTCTATAAAATAAATTAAATGCCGCCAGGAAGACATGGCAGTTAACAAATATAATGCTAAAAGATAGCATAGCCATGCATAGGCTCTTGACGAAAAAAATGTCAAAAAATACAGGGTGTTCTACACCGCTTGTCCATACCCTTTAAAATGGAGACAAGTACATATGATCAACCAAATCATTACCAAAGTATTACCGACTCCCGATTTCTACCGGGAAAGGGTTAAACTTACCACAAGTCTATTGTTTTAACCGGAAGTCTGTTCCAGAAAAAATTTTCCAACAAAACTTATGTATTTTTATGCGCAGAATCCGAATCTATTGAGATAACATGTATATCCAGAGACCGTAACAGTTACAACTTTTATAAAAAAAATCGCTCTTTAACAGTTATTTCTTTATTTTTATTGAATTATTCCTTAAATAACAGTTTTTTCTCATTGTTATTTTATAAATCCAAAATAACTAATAACTATTTTTGGTCTTTATCTAAATAATCTGCAAATAATAGTTATTTTTGATTTTAAATTAAAATTCTTAGGTAACAGTTATTGAAGACTTTTATTTGTGAATGTCAAAAACAACTGTTTAGAAAAATTTATTTTCAAATTTGATTCTCGGTGAAAAAAAAATCGATCGGTATGTATCACTTTGTTGTAGAACATTTCCTTCATGTTATGAAGAACCTCGAATAAATTTCTAAAGTTCCAATAAATAAATAATTTAGTTTATTAAAAAAGTTTTTTAATAATATTTAATTAAAACAAAGCAAGTAATATTTGTGATAAAATAGCAAACAGAATTCAACTAACTGATAACAGTGGCCAACAATATTTTGCAGCAGAGTCAATAAGGGCTGATTCTTTCATAGTTTTGAATATATTTTGAACCATTATAATATAAAAACCGTAAATGAAAGAATATTTTTAATAAGATATTCAGAAAGTTAAATACTGTTATTTTATCTTGAAAGACAAAAATACTTTATTGGAGTATTTATTTTTGAAAAGTTTTGAAAGTGATGCACAGGTATGCAAAAAGTCGAACATTTCCGCATATTTCTACTTCAAAAATTTTAAAATAACTGAAAAAATTTTAGCTACTCGCTGTGAATATAGTTTTTAATTTTTGTTTTTGCAACACATATTTGTAAAAGTAAATTTTTCTTTTCCTTTTGTGCTAAAAGAACAATGTTTAGCTATTTTTTACATTTTTTTCAAAAGATTCTACCAAACGTCATTATTCCATTATAGGTGTCTAAGAACTGCCAAAAATGAGTATTTTGCCAATCTAGTATTTCTAATTTCAGATTCTGACTCTGCGAAAAAAATCCGATAAGAAGCAAATAAAACACCAATTCTGTTTCTACATATTTAAATCAAATCTTGCGGTGACGAATATAAAAAAAAAATCATCTTATAAAAATACAAGTTACGCCATACACCTGACTCATTCAACCGAGTGCAAAAGTGAGAAAAAAAACTACTGAGAAAATACCATAAATACCTTGAATTAAAAAGAGGAAGTGGCAAAGAAAGCATGCAATAAGGCGTAGTGTAGTCACGTCTCTAAATGTGTAGATAGAAGTGAAAAATTCAAAAAAAGTGTGGAAATTTGGATTAAGAGAGTGAAAAAAGCTTGCGAAAAGAGAACAAAAAAGGATGCACTTTTTGAATATACATGTACATAGGTACGTGCGTATGCATCCTTGGGGATGCGGCAAGTGTTAAAACAAAAAGAATTAATTAACTATGGAAATTTAGATGTTACCTTACTGGCATTGGGACTAAGAAATTTATTTGTGAGAAAAGAGATAAAGATTTAAGAGAAAAGGCAAACATGATTAAAAGAAAGGTCAAAAGAAAAATAAATGCAGATTTAATTTCGCACGAGAATGCAAAAAATATTAGAAGTAGCAAAGAATTCGCTACACGATAGCTAAATGAATTTTTTTCCGAAATTATTTCTAAGATTGTAGGCAACAGGGTAAGAAAATTATGTTGTATTGGTCAACGTAATTAAAAAAGGAAGCCTTTATTAACCAAATAGTTAAAAAGCGGTTCGAGGGCTATTCGAGTTTTTTACATATTTGTAATTTTTTAAAAGTGTCAAAAAATTAGTTTTATAATGCAGTGACTTTTTGAATCTAGCTACACTTGAAATTAAGAAATTGTCAAAGTCCGCCTAGTTATATATGAGCTGCTGAACGGATTCGACATTGATTTAAGACACAAAAGGAGACTATGCTGAGGAATAATATAAGTTTTTGCTAACAGCGGTCGCCCCTGGGCGAACAATGGCAACCCTTTGAGTGTATATTTGCCATGTCAAAACTTCTCATAAAAAAACATTCGCTGAGGCGGCGTAAAACTGTATAGGTCCCTGCATTTGTTAGAGCAAATCAAGACGCACTACATGAAGTTGAGCAGAAGCTCGCCCAATTACTTACCAAAATATGTCCGCCTTAAATATTCATTTATTTTTAAGAGCCATCTGCTAATTGTTAAATAAAACAATCGGCGATCCGAAGTCAAGTGATTATTAGTGTTTACTTCCATTCGTCGAAACCCAGGCCCGATTCCTGAAAGATTATTTTCTAATGCGATCGGCCTTTAACTCTGCCATACCGATATTCCCATACAAATAACAATACTAAGTACATACGCCCCTACGTCCGTACGTTTTTCTTCATGTTTGACGCTGTAACCGCTTAAGCACTTTTGGCCTAGCCACAAAGCTTGCCAATCATTTTTCTTCTGTGCTAAATGAGCAGGGCTTCGGAGCGGAGCAATGGATTTCGGCTGGAGCGGAGCTGGAGCATAAAGCTAAAAAGATTAGTTTGCTCCTTAGCCCCTTAAAGGAAATTAAATTTACTTCATTTTTTGGCCACTGAAAACAAGCGTGTTAGTAAATTTTTATTCTAATTTTACTTCGCAATACTGTAAATTGCATAATGCCCAGCAGTCAGGGCTAATAATTGCTACGTCAATTTGAATGGCAATGAAAAAAACAATGACTTCCCTGCCATTTACGTATCCAAAAACTTTCAAAAAAGTGCGGTTTTCGTATTCGGAAATGAGAAAAAAACTACTAAAATTTTCATAAATTTTCTTATCCAGAAAACCTTCGAAACGTTCGAAAACGACGATGGTATTTGAAAGCCATAATTGTATCTTATTTGTTCTAGCTGAACGTAGTCGGCAGTGGCTGAGCATGCAGGGGAGCGTGCCACTACTTGTTAGCTTTCAGAAGGTGCCGGGTTTGAATGCCGCCAGGCACTTCCTTAATTTTTTTTCCAACTATGAAAAAGCATCTGTGAAGTGCAGAAAGAAAGCGTATTGAAGAAAAAAATCAATCGGAAAAATTTTAGAAAAAAAAAACCAAAAACTTACCCGTTTCACAGCCATTTTCGTTATTTTTATTTTGCCGCACCCTTTAGTGGAAAAACGGATCGTCAAAGTATCCCACAATGAAATTGGTAAGCAGGCAAAATCTGCATTTTATAAATTTTCTTACCTTTTCCTCCTCCATATGTATTAAGTAATTAAATAAATAAATAAAGATTTTTATTGGGAGCTCGGGTTGAAATATTATACCAGAGCGGAGTGGTGAAAAAAAACCTTTGCTCCGAAGCCCTTCAAATGACGTCAGTTCCTTTTCCACCTTGTAATTCCATCGTAGAGGAGGCCTTCCACTACCTTCTCTGCCACCAGCGGGTTGCGTGTTGAATATACATATTTAGGGTTGGAGAGTTTGTGCCCATTAGTTCCACATTTTGCTATCGTTGTAGCTTAAGGGTGATCCAATTGGAACGAAGAATTTCTTTTGCAAATAAAACACAACAAAATGTTTTTTATTTTATTTTTTATTTTATTGTGTTTTTGGTCTATAGCATTTATGTATGAAACATAATATTCGTTAAATGTCCACCACCTCACCTATGGCAATACGGAATGCTGATATCAAACTTTTCCATGACTTTTTCGCATAGTTCGGGCTGTATATCATTTACAACGCGTATGAATTCGTGCTTCAGCTCTGGAACTGTGGTGGCTTATTTTCATAGTTAACGTATTTTTTTTTTTCGGTCAAAAAGCTGTGCATTGCTGCGAAAAATTTCCATTCCGCAGTACGTATGTATGTATATATTTCCATTAAAAAAAGCACATTTTTTACATTATGAGCATTAGTTATAATTTGAAAAAGTTTTTCAATAAACAAAAGTAAAATTCAACAAATTTGCACAACCACAGTTTTCTAGTTTGAAGTGTCTACAAAATACCGTT